GCCGGTCACCAAAAAAAGAGCTTGTAGCTTGCCTATTTAACACCCGGGTCGGGTCACTGGGCCTGCTTCTGGTCCCGGGTCGAGCCAGGTCAGCAAAGTGCCGGTCAGGGCCGGGTCGGGCTAGGGATGGACTAAACCGGCCCGGCCTGCCACTGTGCGGGTCCGGCCCGCCCCGGGTAACTTATAGTCGTTGCATTTCAACCCAAACGGCTCTATAGCCGTTGGGAGCCTGCCAGGGGGTCCCGGTGGGGGTTGGGGGGTGGGGGTACTAAAAATCTATAAATACTCCATTTTTTCTATACAATTTACTACACATCTTCTCCAAATATTCCTACTCTCTAATCTCTATTCTCTACTAATCTTCTCCATCTTCATCTTCTCAAATTTATAACTACATATATTATATTTATAAAATTTATTATCTTCTTATTATCTACTTATATTAATATCTAATTATTATATTATTGTTACTTATATTTATTTACTTATATTTACATATTACATATATAATTATCTCTAATTTATTTACTTATATTTACATATTACATATACTTAATATATACTTATATATATATATATATATATATATATATATATATATATATATATATATATATATATATATATATATATATATATATATATATATATATATATATATATATATTAAAGTATTATATATAAGTGTACTACTCATCTTATAGTAATATACTTATATTATATATACTATAAACATAATATTATATATTACTAGTTAATCTACTTATTATCTACTTATAAATATATATATTAAGTATATCTACTTATACACTTATTATCTACTTATCCAATTGCTTATACACTCTCACACTCCCATTAATTTTGTTTACACACTCATACATTCTTTATTAATATAAAAGTAGTTAATTGTTTCACTTATCATTTTAGTATTAGTTCATTGCTATAAAAGTAGTTAATTGTTAGTTGTTAGTTTATTGGAAATAGTTACATTAAAAATTGTTAGACAATAATTCGAAATTAATTGTTTACTTGTTAAACTAGTTAATTGTTACATTTCTTAATCTCCTATAATATTAGTTAATTGTTACATTTCTTATTCTCCTATAAAACTAGTTAATTGTTACATTTATTATTCTCCTATAATACTAGTTAATTGTTACATTTATTATTCTCCTATAATACTAGTTAATTGTTACATTTTTTTTCTCCTATAAAACTAGTTAATTGTTACATTTAATTCTCCTATAAATTTTATTGCATTGTTACATTTATTATTCTCCTATCAAACTAGTTAATTGTTACATTTATTATTCTCCTATTAAACTAGTTAATTGTTAATTATATTAAAGTTGTTCGAATTTTATAATAAAAGTAGTTAAACTTGTTAAATTTTTATTTATTTATTATTTGTTAACAAATAGTTCGAATTTTATTGCATTGTTACATTCTAGTTAATTTAATTGTTCGAATTTAATTATTTGTTAACTTGTTAATTTAATTATTTGTTAAACTTGTTAATTTAATTTAATTGTTACATTCTAGTTGCATACTTCGAATTTAATTGTATTTCGAATTGTTAGATTTGTATTTCAAATTCACTAGTTTAATTGTACTTCGAATTTAATATTTGTTATATTTTTAAGATGAAACATGGTAGAACTTCTTTAGATATGGGTAACCTCCGCCGCAACCAAACAAAGGAGATTGCGAGGAATCATCTAAGCTTACGAAAAGGTAAGGGACGGGCCGGTTCTTCATCTCAAACCCGAGATGATTTTGATGCGGATTATAACCAAAGATATGGACATGCGATGTCCGATGAGCAATTAGAACAACTATTGCAACAAAATCAAGGGGCGTCTCAATTCACTACTACCTGAACTCAATAGAAAGATTCAAATTTCACTTTTGACAATTTTGACCAGTCACCGCTATGTCACCCAATAGGGTGCTAATTATGCATGTGACGTGGCACCTTAGGGAGTCAAATACGCCACTAAACTCGAATGAATTGTTTAATTCACTCCCTCAACCATTAAGAACGTCAAAATTATGAAAATAAAAATAAAAAAGACGAAATGAAAATAAAAATATGTTAAAAATACAAGTTGAAATACAAAATATAAATATGAAATATTTATATTTTTTCGGTAAATGCAAAATAAATAAATGAATAAAATATAAATTAAAATAAATTAATTCTTGAACTTTATTTCCATATTTTTTTTGATCATATTTCCATATATATATATATATATATATATATATATATATATATATATATATATATATATATATATATATATATATATATAAATGTAATAGTTATGTGTTCATACAACACACACACATGATTGTATATATTAGCTTACGTCGTATAGTATATAGTACACATAATTAGTACGTAGTACTACCTCCATTATTAAATAAATGCAACATGTTGAATTTTACATATTCACATGTTCTACTTTAACTATGTTTTATTTATTAATGAATTAATGTATATAGTTTTGAAAAAAATATTATTAAAATTGTCCCATTGTAAATTTTCAAAATCTACTTTTTTTTTAATTTTTTACTAATAGAGAATTAAATATGTTAATGGTCAAAGTTGTGTCTTCGCAAATGTGAAAAGTTGATTGTTGCATTTATTTAAGAACGGATGAAGTACTTCGTATATATATTACGTAACAAATATATATAATAAGTAATATAAATATGTAGTTATTATTTTTATTCTTATATACATAGTATTTTTAATATTACTATAGAAATAAAAAAAGTGTAATTAGTAACTTTGAAAAAAAAGTTACATAACAATAATATGATAGTATATTTTTATTATATTTTTATATAAATTAAAAGGCATGAAATGAGAAAAAAATACATATTGATAATGCAAACATAATGCTTCATATATTTGTGTTATATTACAAAACATTAGATATGATACATAAAATAAAATTTTAAATAAATTCGGTAAAAATACATTGTTTATTTCTTATATGAAATCTACGTGGTAGTTATAATATATGAAAATAAAGTAAAAAAAATTATTTTAGTTTATATATATTTTAAATTTTGAATTTACCGCAAAATACAAATATTATATATATATATATATATATATATATATATATGAGGGCTCTTCTCATCAGGCCGGCCTGACGGGCTGCCCCGTCCGGCCGAGCCCGTTTGGGCACCTTCCCGGTGGAATTTTTTGATGAAATTGTTTGAGCATGTTCCTCGTCAAGTCTAGTTTGTCCATACCAAATTTCAGCTCAAAATTCGATCGGGAAGGTCGTCAAATGATTTTTGCAAGTTAACTGGTCCGGAAAATACATATTCCGGACCAGTTAACTTGCAAAAATCATTTGACGACCTTCCCGATCGAATTTTCAGCTGAAATTTGGTATGGACAAACTAGACTTGATGAGGAACATGCTCAAAAAATTTTATCAAAAAATTCCACCGGGAAGGTGCCCAAACGGGCTCGGCCGGACGGGGCAGCCCGTCAGGCCGGCCTGACATGAAGTTTTCTCTATATATATATATATATATATATGATATTTCGGCATATATTTTATTTCTTTTTTTCCTCTATGTTTTGACAGTTTTTATGGTTAAAGGTGTAAATTGAACGATTAAGACAGTTCAAGGGGCTTGTTTGACCTCTTAAGTTGGCACGTTAGATGCACAATTGGCACATTACCGGATGACGTGACATTGACCAAATCATGACATGCAAAAGGTAAAATTTGAATGTTTTTATCGAGTTGATTGTGTCAATTGGAGCTTTTTGGAGTTCAAGGAGTAAATTGGACATTCCAGATGGGTACAAGGATCTATTTGACCCTTAAGGCTATTTATTATAAAAAACAAAAACAAAAAAGAGAAATTGAAAGAAATAGTTACAGAGTATATTGCTTTTAAAAATTGATCATTTAAACATAGTGACTATAATTAGGGATGGATTGGGGCGGGACGGCCCAACCTAGGCCCGATTCTGTTTAGACCTGGCTTAGCTCGTTATTGTGTAAGCCCGGCCCGGTGGCTATAAGGGGCAAGCTTCAGACTCGATTTTTGGGCCCGACTTGGCCGGGCTCAGGCCGAGAACGGGCCTGACTACACTATTTTTTTTAATTGAATGCTCAATCTCATCTCGAAGCCCGGCCGACGCGGTACTGTTTGGTCCTGGAATAACCCGGTCCCGGTACAAACCCAGGCCAGTACCAGGCCTGAATCCCTACCATGTCCTGTCCCGAAGCCCAGCCCGATCCCGTCCCAATCCATCCCTAACTATAATAGTAGTTATATTCGATTTTTACACTTATGTGATTACGACATTATATATTATAGTAATTTTTAGTCATATTTCTACAAAATAAATTTTGTTTCAATAATATTTTTGATAAAACATCAATTTAAAAACCCCTGAATATTTCATTTATACTGCGATTTGAGTATAATTGTAGGTCTATTAATCTAGGTGAGATTCTTCAAGTCTTTTACGCATATTATTACTATAAATACAAAAAAAATGACTTACTCTTTAATTATTAAAAATTGTGACTAATAACGTCACTTTTGCCCTTTATTTAATACTCTATTTGTTCCATAAAATTTGGCCACAATTAACTTGCGCATAAAATAATAAAATAAAAAAGTGTTGTTCAGATTCATATAGAGGGGGGATAATTTTAACAATTTTAAATGGAAATGATAAAATTCTTTGGGACGGTAAAAAAAGAGAAATTTGGCAAAAATTTAATGGCACGGAGGGCTTATTACATATAATATCATAACCAAAGGTAGACTAGCCAAGCTTAGTCAGTGTTCTAAAATGTGTGAGGCACGACAAGACATCAAGGCCAAGTCTCAAGCCTTTGAAACCTAGGTGGAAATAGATGAACCCTAGGCGTGAAAAGGTGTTTTAGATATCTATTGGTAATTACTACCTCCGTTCGAAATTGTTTTGCAAAGTCAAAAAAAATCATTAACATACCGCAACAATTGTACTACAAAATATTGAATCTGTATAAAACTTGTAAGAAAAACCTTTATACGGAGTATACAAATGCAATACAAGGAAGACAAGATGAACGAACACTTGCTATGACACTAACTCGATTCATCTGAATAGCTTTGAGTTCAACTGCATGCTAATTGATCCATGCTATTTAGGACTTCATTTCTTCACAAAGTATGTAATATTAACTCTTCAGAAGTTGAACTCATATTAAGGAAAAGGGCCCATATAATATCATATAAAGGGGGGGGGGGGGGGGGGTATAATGATGAACAGCTGTGTCTGGAAATGGAAATTTGATCAAAATATTAAATGCATATTATCTGTACGAGCTGCCCATATAATATCATCTTCCAAAAGCTGTTTTGTCCCCAAAAAGACATTTCATTTCATTTTTCAACGTGTCATTAAAACTTACAAACAAACAAATATGATTAGTCAAACCAACAAGTGAATACATATATACATACCAAAAGGTGAAGGCACAAATTTTTATGTCATAACTTTATGCAGTTTACCTTGCCAACTTTTTCGGACAAAGGGAGCACTACCAATCATAGGGCATTTTGATAAAAGTTTGACTTTTCTGCAATACGAATGCCAAGATCTCCATAATGGTGTCTCACAGAATAGCTGATGAGCTAGCATCAAATGCCAAACAACACAAAAGAATATGTTTGGAATAAAAGTTGGGGGGATGCTTTAAAATGAAATTCAAAATGAAAATCGCATGAACTCATGTCAAATAAGCTTGATTTGGTTCAAAAGCATACCTAATCATCTCAAGGATAACTAGTTTCTCACACGTATCCATGAGCTTTTCATTTATAATTTATATGTTTACCATTTTCTTTTGAAAAGGTCATTTTAAACTTATAAAAGTCCTAGCTTGCCAGCTCCTTTTGTCAAACCATAGTATTGAGATCAGCTAACTTTTTAACTATACACTACATGTGGGTATAAGTTGTGTTTTGAATAGCTTCCTCAAAGAGAAGCTAATAACAAGCTAATATTTTGAACAGCCAAACAAAGCCTAAAGACTATGTCCCTCATGCCTGAGCGGAAGCTTCGGCATTGGGATAGTGGGTATGCCCTTCTATCGAAAATCTGGATTATTGAATACTCCCTCCACCCCAAGTACTTGTCCCACTAGGCGTTTCACATAGTTTAAGATGTGCGCGTAGGTGTAAAACGGAAGTAAGATAAGTATTTTGGAACGGCCCAAAATGAAAAGCGGGACAAATATTTTGGTACAGAGTGACCTCACATGGAAAGAATGCATTGATCTTAGAGCCACTTAGGACTACACAACTGACCTCACATGGAAAGAATGCATTAATAGCATAAACTTTATGGCAGCGGGAACCAACTATGGTTGTAATGTAGATTTCATGTATCTTAGAGCCGATCGCAGCATGGCTCTAGCTTTTCTATCTGGTGTGCACCCAGACAAGAGCATTTCCTCATACACATCTGGAACCTGAATCCCAAACCAGCCTTTAACTTTATTACTACATCACTGCAGATAAGTATTACAATTGAAATTTTGGTAGCAGAAGAATCCCCCAAATAGCTAAATATAATGCAACCTGATACATTTGTAAGTAAGCAAAATTAATAGTACTGTGAGTTGTATCCTATCTGTTAAACCTACCTAACCTTTGTTCTAAAATAAAGACTGCTACCAAAGTGAAAACTTCCTATATAGCCATTGGACTACATCCAACAACACAGAATAGAGGGTGGAGTTAACAATTGACTATACATTATTGCTTAATTTGATCATAGGATAATGAAATTTGGACACAATTTCATCTCTGTACATACTTGGTTCTAAATACAACAACATCCAAGCCTTAGTCCCAAAAGAGCTTGGATCAGCGTGGCTAACATGGATCGAAATATTAAATCAAAGTTAAAAAGGATACAAAGATATCAATCCTCCGCACTTATCCCTCCACACCGACCTTGATGCCAGCATTCGACGGCGAAGACCCCATCGGATGGCTGGCTAGGGTTGAGCAACAATTCGAAATTAATGAAACCCTACCTGGAAGAAAAGTGGCAGCAGCTACGGTAGCCATGGAATAGCTAGCCATGGAAGGGGCTGCCCTGTACTGGTTGGCCTGGTTGAAGGCACGGAAACCGAGCATGACCTTGGAGGGATTCACACAAGCACTGGTGGCCCGATTCGATTCACGGTTCAAAGGCAGCCGATTCTAATGGCTGTCCGGGGTCAAACAGTTGGGAACCGTAGAGGAATATAATAACCTTTTTGTTCAATTAGCTAGTCAGGTTCCCGGGCTGTCCGATAATCATTATTTGGTGTATTTCATGAGGACTGAAGGTACCGATTCATGGATCCGTACGGTTGCTGCGGCCAAACAACCTGGAGATAGCAATGGAATTGGCCAGAGATATTGAGGACAATCTATCCTTTCAAGAGGGGGCAGGGAAAGCCAACCCTACAATACGGAAGTGCGTTCGGGCAGTTTTTCGCGTCCAAGTGGGGGCAACAGCACGGCCATGAGTGGTGGCAGCATACAATGATTGAGTGGCAGCTTTCTAAAAGATATTGGGCAACCTACGGGAACAAATTCAGGGCTGTCCAGGCAGTCTACTGCATGCTCTAGGTTCACTCGACTTCCGCCGAAGGTGTTAGAAGAGTTGCGGGCAAAAGGATTATGCTTTAGGTGTAAGAAACCATTTACACCAGGGCATGACTGCCATTTTACGCAGTTAAGGGTAATGATAGCTGAGGAGGATGAGGGATATTTTCCAGTCAATTCTATGGCTAGAATTTCCAACCCTCGAATTATGAGACTCTGAGGGGTGGTAGTGGAATGCACGGTGACCATTCTGATAGACAATAGTGCAAGCCACAACTTTATTTCTTCATCCTTGGTCTCCCTATTACGATTGCATTCAGACAAGACATGCATAGGGTGTGTGTAGACTGCTTCCTATCACATTGTCGGGTTGTGCTGTTAAGGCAGATTGCTATGTGTTTGCCTTGGGCGGGGTTGACATCATTTTGGGAGTAGCTTGGTTGGCCACGTTGGGAGAAGTACGGACACATTGGGAAACATTGACCAAGAATTTCGAGCGGGGTGGTAGTCGAGTCGAATTAAGGGGTGACCCGACGATTAATAAAGAGAGTTGTGCCTTTGGGTGTCTCAAGGATGATGCTACTTGGATGAGTAAAGAAAGTTCTATACTTCTATGAGTCGGTTTTCAAATTTCAACCTTGAGGACAAGGTTATTTTGAAGGAGGGAGGATTGATAGAGAGCAAGGAGAGCATTGGACTGTACGGAAGAGGATGGTTTGAGACCCAGGTTGTTGTCGGTTCATTAAAGGCGAGGACGGGCTTGAGCCCACCTTCGTGGGCTGATTGTGGGCTGGAATTTTAGTTTTAATTACTATAAACTTTAAGTTATGTTTTCTAGTTTGGGCCTATTATTAGGAGAGTATTTAGTAGAATTAATTTGGGTCTAATTAGGGTTTACTTAATGTGGGCTCAATTAGGGTTTTTATTTGGGTCTGTTATTAGAAGGGTATATATACCCCTTGTTAGGGTTCATTCTTGCTTATCACTTAATAAGATTGGATTTCAGCCTTTTGACTATGGGCAACGGTATCTACCATTGATTATTCTGAGCAACGATTAATTCTGTTGATTTTTATTTTCCATTTTCATCAATTGGAAATCAAAATGAAATCTAGTTTGTTTTATGGAATTTGACAAATGTAGTTGATCGCTTGATTGTTGACAATTGTAGTTCTTTTGGATGTGAACGGAAATGGAGTGGCTTTGAAAATGTAAATTCTCGACTAAGGCATATTAGGTATAAGTGATTATCTAGTCAAAGAAGCGGTAGTGCCTCCCAAAAGTTTATCCGTGGTAGGGTTTAGATTTCTTGACAGTGAGCCTTATTGCCTCTATCATCAGTGAAGGCCGCAGATGTGCGTCGCGATGAGAGGGACAGTGATAGATGATATGGAAAGGCCTGGTCAAATTCTTGCTGAGTTGCTGTTGATGAATGAACACAGGTCTGGTCAAATTCTTGCTGAGTTGCTGTTGATGAATGAACACAGGTCTGGTCAAATTCTTGCTGAGTTGCTTGATGAATGAACAGAGAGGTCGAGTCAAATTCGGCAAAAGGTGGGCAAAGAATGTAAAGGTGGTGGGTCGGGTTGCACCGACTCACCGGAAGTTTTAGGGTTACAGACCGTTGACTGTCGATGGACCGAAAGCCGATTGGCCGCCAGAGGGACTATTCTGGAAATTATATTTACCAATAGAGCTTGACAAACAGTGTTATGCTGGGTTAGATTTAATTCTAGTATTCTTATTTTTTTAGTTTATTTCTTGTGTTGGAACTTGTGTTTTCTTTGTAAGTTCTATTTTTGTGGTGGGTAGAGGTCTATGCTAGTGAGAAGTATTAAGGCACCTAGAGTTGACTTTATCTTCAAAGCTCTCGCATAATTAATGACTTGATCTGCTCTATTTATGCCTTTATGGCAATTGTTTCTATGTCTAATCAGGGGATGAGGGGACTTTCAAGTTATGTTGAGTGTAGAGTGGGAAGTTTGTCATATTAAAACATAGGTGATTTAGGAGTGTTTGGTATTGATTCTGCTTCTACTTTTTTTAAAGCACAAGTAGAATCAGAATTAGTTTTTCAGAAGTTGATCTCCTCCAGCTTCTAGAAAACTGCTTCTAGGAGTGATTTGGAGCACTTAGAAGTTAGAAGTACTTATGTGCTTCCACCCAAACATTCCAATATCTGATTATGTTTTCCAAAGGAGCAGAAGCAGTTTTAAGAAACAGATCCAAACACCCCCTTACATTCAACAAATAACTAAAATATTATCAATCAATATGAGGTCGACAGCAAGAAAAGGATAAAATTGATGCCAAAAAAATTGAAGGATCTAGAGTACATTTAGAACCAACATCTCTACGATTCAGTTTTTAAGAAAATCAAAATATGTCTAGATGACATTGAGAATTGCAATGGATGAATTGATGAGGCCACAAAGAAGCAGTTGGCGTCAATGAAGCAACTCACAACACTAGAGCATCCACATTTCATCAGCTAAGTGATGAAGATAGGTAATATGATATTATACGATTCAATATCCTTCTAATAGTGAAATGAATGAGGATGAAGTGTCATTTAAATGCAACAACTCCTAGACTTTAGAGTTTGGACAAAGACACAACCAGACTCATAACAGAAACCTTAATGAAGACTCATCAGGCAAAGAAACTAGCAACAATAGAAAGTGTGAAGTATCGCATATACATACTGTTTTTTACCTTTCCAAATTTCTCCACGCGGATCAAAACTTTCATCAGAGTGGTATAAGTAATAACATCGGGCTTTATGTCCTGTGGTTATAAATGTTTGGGGGGAAAATGATAAGAATCTGGCACAAACAGTAAATTCACTACACAATTCCAGCCATTCAAATACAGAGATTGGTAAAAACAGGCAATAGTATAAGAACACAATCCGGAATATTATTCCACAAGAAACAATCAACAAAGGTAAACCGTATACAAGCCAAAAGAGGAGATAATACTCCTAAATTCCCAGTCCCAATCCAAATGACCAAAAGCCTGCCAACCTACTGCAGGAACTCTTATTTATACCCTTCCATAAAGGAAGGCGGTTATTAGTTGCATAACAGAATTAACTAATAACTGAGCTAGTCTATTTAGGCCTTCTCTTGTACACCCTCCCATATCTACTCCCTTTATCTAGACTAGCATCTATATCCCTATCAATACCCCCTTCTTGAAGAATCAACTTGTCCCCAAGTTGAAATTCAGGGAACTGATCTTGGATTGCTTGCAATTCCTCCCATGAGTCCTCATAATCAGGAAGATCTTTCCAATGAATTAGAACCTCCTGCTTCCCTTCCTGATTAAGTCTGCTACCCTTCACAGCTTCAGGTCTCACTTGCAACTCACACTCTTTGGTGAGGCAATTTGGGAGATTCTGAGATGTCACAGTAGATTTTAGCACCTTCTTAAGCAAGGATATGTGGAATACAGAGTGTATTCTAGGACTGAGCTTCTGATTGATTTTTTTTAGCCAGAGTTTTCATCTTATAGGGTTGAATCTTCAAAAATACCATGTCCCCAACTTCCAGCTTCACTTCCCTTCTATGCTTGTCAGCCTGTTGCTTCATCAGGTTTTGAGCCTTGGCCAAATTTTCCTTTAACTCAGTCAACATAGAGTTTCTGTTGTCAATCTAGCCACCTCTTCTACTGCAGTCAAGCTTACATCCCCTCTAATGATAGGAGGTTCCTGCCCAAACAAAGCTTGATATGGGGTACATTTTAGTGAGTTGTGGTAATTAGTGTTGAACCAATATTTTGCCCATATAAGCCATTTCACCCACTGTCTTGGCTTCTTCCCAGTTACACATCTCAGGTAAGTCTCCAGACATCTATTCACAATTTAAGTCTGCCCATCGCTTTGAGGATGATAGGCAGTGCTATATTTAAGCTGAGTGCCAGCTAACCTGAATAATTCTGCCCAAAAAGAACTAAGGAAAAGGCTATCTCTATCACTGACAATGGATTTGGGAAATCCATGAATCTTGACCACTTCTTGTACAAAAACTTCTGCCACCCCTTTGGCATTGAATGGGTGAGCCAAAGGTATGAAGTGAGCAAATTTTGTCAGTCTATCCACCACTACTAAAATAGCATCTTTTCCTTGGGATTTAGGTAAGCCACCTATGAAATCCATACTAATGTCAGCCCAAATGTGTTGTGGAATAGGTAGAGGCTGCAGCAACCCTGCAGGTCTAAGAGCCTGATATTTATTCCTTTGGCATACTTCACACCCCAAAATGTAATCCTTGATATCCTTCCTCATTCCTGCCCAGTAGAATAGATTAGCAATTCTTTTCAGGGTCCTGAAATAGCCTGAATGACCCCCTACTGCAGAGTCATGGTACTCATTGAGTATGCTCTTCACCCTGTTGGACCCTTTTGGTAACATCATCTTTCCTCTATAATATAGAATACCTCCCCTCATTCTATAATCTGGATATTTATCTGGCTGCCTGAATATCTTCTGGATTAATTCCCCACATATAGCATCTTTTTACAATTCATCTTCCAATCCCTCCCATTCTTGGCAAGTCACACTAGATAAGGCTGAATATATAGACTTTCTGGAAAGGGCATCGGCTGCCTTGTTCTCAATTCCTGGCTTGTATACTATAGTGAAATTGTACCCCATTAGCTTGGCAATCCACTTCTATTGATCTTCTCCCATCACCCTTTGTTCAGTCAAATATTTCAGGCTTTTCTGGTCTGTATGGATCTCAAATCTTCTCCCCAATAAGTAAGGCCTCCACTTTTGTATAGCAAACACAATGGCCATTAGCTCCTTTTCGTAGACTGACTTCACCAGATGTTTAGGAGCTAATTCCTTACTCATATATGTCAGGGGGCCACCATCTTGCATTAGAACAGCTCCTAATCCTCTTCCAGAAGCATCTGTTTCCACCACAAATATCTTATTGAAGTCTGGAACCCTTAAAACTGGTACAGAAATCATGGCAGCCTTCAATTCTTCAAAAGCCCTTTCAGCATTGACATTCCACTTGAACCCATCTTTCTTCAGTAATAAAGTTAGGGGTGCAGCAATATGACTGTACCCCTTGACAAATCTCCTGTAGTATCCTGTTAGACCTAGGAACCCCCTCAGTTCCTTTAGATCCTTAGGAACTGGCCATTTACTCATAGCTTCTATCTTGCTAGGATCTGCAGCCACCCCTTTTTCAGAAATAATATGACCCAAATAGGTCAATTGTTGTTGACCAAATGAGCACTTTTTCTGGTTCACCGCCAATTGATTCTTCTTTAGTACCTCCAGAACCCTCCTCAGATGTTGCTCATGTTCAATTTTGGTTTTGCTATAGATTAGAATATCATCAAAGAAAACCAATGAAAATTTCCTCAGAAAGGGCCTTAATACTTCATTCATAAGTGCTTGGAATGTAGCAGGTGCATTAGTCAGCCCAAAGGGCATGACTAGATACTCATAGTGACCTTCATGTGTTCTGAAAGCCGTTTTATGTGAATCACTAGCCTTCATCCTTATTTGGTGGTACCCAGACTTAAGATCCAACTTAGAAAAAAAATTGGCCCCTCCCAGTTCATCCAACAGTTCTTCTATCACAGGAATGGGAAATTTATAAGGTATAGTAACCTTGTTCAGTGCCCTATAGTCCCCACAGAATCTCCAACCCCCATCTTTTTTTCTGGCCAGTAAAACAGGGCTACTATAGGGACTGTTACTATGTCTAATAATTCCTGACTTAAGCATCTCATCAATGATCCTTTCTATCTCATTTTTTTGGTCATAAGTATACCTATAAGGTCTGAGATTAGGGATACTTGCACCTTCTTTAATGTTGATTGCATGATCACAGTCTCTTTCAGGTGGAAACTTCAAAATGGGTGAGAAAACCTCAGGAAACTCAGCTATGACACCCTGCCAGACCTCCCCATCTCCTTCCTTTTGTTTCAGTCTTTTCAAGTGTCCTTCAAAGCATAAGAGATAACCATCTCCAGTTTGATGCAGTATGTTGATCATAGATTTCAATGGTACCTCCATTTGATTCAAAGTTGTACTTCCTTTTATAAAGTGATTTTGACCTTGGAATTTCCATTTCAAAATCTGTTGTCTGAAGTTAACCTCCATATCTCCCAACCCCGCCAACCATTCCATTCCCAAAACTATGTCAGTGCCTCCCAGATCTAGCACATAGTAAGTCTCTCTCAGTTCATTGCCCTGAATTTCCAATCCTACCTTGTCACATTTCCCAATATTAGGTATACACTCCCCATTGCCTATCTGCACCTTGTAGCCTTGAATAGGGTTGTAAGGTAGACTCCATTTATCCACCAGCTTCTGGGATATAAAGTTGTGGGTTGCACAAGAGTCTATCAGCACACTCACCATCTGTTTCCCTTTGTGCCAATCTATATAGCCCTTTACCTTAAAGGTATTCATAGCAGGTATGCCCTCCTTGCTCAGAACTGTCAGCTGCATTGTTCTATTCTCCATTATAATGGGTTGTTCCTTCTCAGAATCCTCATTCTCAACATCAGAAGCTTCTTCTCCTTCAGAATTTTCTACCAAAACCATCTTATAGTTTCTCATTTTACAGACATGTCCCTTTCCCCAGAGATCCCCACACTTAAAACATAGCCCTCTCCTGCTTCTATCCAGTAATTCTTCTTGTGACAATCTGGGCCCACTTTTTCTCACTTTAGGTAGTTTCATCTCCTCCTTACTCTTATTATCAGTGTTGGTTCTGACCCCTACCAGAGATGTAGAGGGTTGACTCTTCCATCTATTTCCATCTCCCCAGATCTGAGACTGAATCAAGTTAGAACTCTTAACTTGCCCCTTCTTTCTTCCATCCTCTTCACTTTTCATGATACTGACTTCAATATTTTCATTATCAATCAATGTAGCTGTGTTCATGACTGCAGCCAGAGTTCTGGCAGAATATAATTTCAACTCTGCTTGTATATCACGCTTCAAACCATTCACAAAAGCTCCTCTCAACACCTCCTCAGTTAAGTGACCTTGCGAGGCCATGGCTATCTCAAACTTGTCCCTGTACTCTGCAACGGAGCCTGTCTGTTTTAAACTGAACTAAGGTCCAAGAGAGTTCTCCACCAATTCCGGTTGAAATCGAAGAGTTAGATCCTTCGTCAGTTGCGCCCAGGTCAGATGTTGTGACTGACCTTCCCACCACTGGAACCAGCTCAAAGCTTGGTCCTCCATGGCCATACAGCTACATCGATCTTCTCTTCATCATCCGTTCTGTTCAAACGAAAGTAGCGATTCATCCTAACCAGCCAACCGAAAGCGTCCTGTCCGTTGAAAAGCGGTAAGTCGATTTTCCTCCTTATCGGATGATGGTTCCGATGATTATGATGACGATCGCGGTTTCGGTTTGAAACCGAAGGATGATCGGATCCTTCTGAACTGTCTTCCTCTCTCATATGCCGGCGATGATGAGAGGTTCGATGAGATGTAGATGAATGATGTGAATTACTCCTCGAATGTCCAGGAGGTCGAGGTTGCAAGGCCGCGATGCTAGCTTGCAAAACCGCAACATTCGCTGCTAAGCTTCTCTCCAAGTTCATCTGCAACTCACGCATCTCTCGATGATTTCTGTCTTGCATCTCCACCAAATTCCTTTCGACGTCATTCATCCGTCCTTCCATTTTTCGCGCGAGTTTGTCTCATCCAGCGATCGACTCGCTCTGATACCAATGATAAGAATCTGGCACAAACAGTAAATTCACTACACAATTCCAGCCATTCAAATACAGAGATTGGTAAAAACAGGCAATAGTATAAGAACACAATCCGGAATATTATTCCACAAGAAACAATCAACAAAGGTAAACCGTATACAAGCCAAAAGAGGAGATAATACTCCTAAATTCCCAGTCCCAATCCAAATGACCAAAAGCCTGCCAACCTACTGCAGGAACTCTTATTTATACCCTTCCATAAAGGAAGGCGGTTATTAGTTGCATAACAGAATTAACTAATAACCGAGCTAGTCTATTTAGGCCTTCTCTTGTACACCCTCCCATATCTACTCCCTTTATCTAGACTAGCATCCATATCCCTATCAGAAAATCAGATATATTATAGAGCCACCAGTTTATTACTAACAAAGAGAGATGGGTAAAAGAGGAGAAGGACTAGAAGACGAAATACTATTCACCGCTTCATATCTTTATCACCTTTTCTTTCATGTACCTCAAAACAGCAAAAGCTTCTGCATCTCTTCTATCCTCACCAAACGCATTAATTAAAGAATTGAGAGACAACAAACTGGGCCTCAGACCATCAGCTTTCATATTTCTGAAGGCATTTACTGCATGCTCTGAAAATCCCTATCAAATAAATAAAAAAACATCCACCAGACTTAACAATGTTAGAGCCCAAAAGAAAAGTTATTCACGGAGTCTAGGAGTCTGTTTGGTGAGGTCTACAATTATGGAGGTGCCAAAATCTACTGGACCTCTGGTTTAAAAATGGTGAATGCTAAATCCGCTGAACTACCCATTATGTATTTAAAATGTATTTTTAAAATACATTAAACATAATAATGTGTAAAGAGGAATGATGGAGTAATTTTCAAAGAATTTAATCATTTCGATTAAAAAGTAACTTTTGCACTGCTCCATCCAGTGCAGTGAAATCAACTGATCCATCCAGTGCAGTGAAATCAGTTAGTGTTTGGTGAAAAAGTAAAACCAAAAAATTGCCTAACCAATAGGGACTAGATGTAGCTTTCAATTGTAAATAGCATCACCATGTGCAGGCAAACACATATCCATACATACTAAGAACCCGTTTCCCAACAGTTATTTAGCCAAAACGGTTAAATCTATTCAAGTTTCTAAACCAAAAGGCTTCTAGTAAAACTCACTCCTGCCAAATAAATAAACATGGCTACCAAAGGAACTAGTAAATTAATATGTGTGAGTGTGCGCACATGCATATGATGACTTCCATGTCAATTCGGTACCGTGCTGACAAGCTTTAATTAGCTGACATTGCACTTGCACAATATACAGCCTAATTAAAGCATTTAGCAACGTGTTGATTCGACATGGAGCCTTTATATATAGCTAGAGAGTATTACTACCTTACGGGAAATTGTCAGTGGACCTTCAGATCCTAGGTGGCCATTGATTTGTATTACAATATGGCATTTTTGGTCAAGGTTCAAAGTAGATCAGCACATCGGAAAGAATGGCTATACTTTTTGGGCCTACCCACTTGAATCCGGTAAATCACTAAACAGCCCGTGTGTATGAAATTTAAATGGATAACCCATATATGAATGGGTCGAGTAGGGTCGGGTATAGAAAAATAAATCATTCCCGGTTGGGAATTTAATATGACCCACTAATGCAGTCAAGTTTAGGCTCGAGCAACCCTATCACTGAAATCCAAGATTGTGAATGCACAAAAAGAAAAACTTTTTATAAGTCTAAACATTGTGTAACAACATCTTATATTCCTTCTATAAAAGAAGTTCCTTTAAAAGCAAATGTAATAAAGAAACTAAACAAAATGGAAAATATTATAATTCTAATTTTTTAAGTAGAGCATAACAGTCTTAAACAAGAAATAATCTAACAAAACATTATAGCAAGGACCGCAAGGTAATAGGAAAATAAAGAAGGAAAATATTTCCAACTTCCAGTGATGAAAATTGTAGGGAATGTCAATGAAAAGTAGATACCTTTAGGGGTAATTTGAGTTTGCACCCCATTTTATTGTCCAAATTGGACTTTGCACCCTGTTTTTAAAACCTTTTGTATTTGCACCCCAACCTCATATGGAAAAACAAAAATGTCCCTCGATCAGGAATATGTTAAAGGTCAACAGAATTGTTAATGGAAGGGTATTTTTGTATTTTGATATGAGGTTGGGGTGCAAATACAAAGATTTTTAAAAACGGGGTGAAAAGTCCAATTTGGACAATAAAATGGGGCGCAAACTCAAATTATCTCATACCTTTATGTTGATCGGATCGGTTAAGTTCGGCTTTGAGGCTCCTACTGCCGCAACCCTATCCATTATGCGTGGGTTTATAGAAAATTAACCCGCAATTATTTTATTAGGTCAAATAATTGACTAAAAATGGCCGGATATGGCTGGGTCAACCGGGTTGTGCGAATTGGGCCTATTTTTGTGCAGCACTAGTACCAAGGGTCGGATAGAAATATGTCCGCACCTGAGCAGTCCAACACACATATATATGTAGGAAAATGATTGAGTGAGTCCTTACTAACTCTTACAGTTACGAAGATATTACATGAACCGTTGATCGTGTTTACAATCCCGTTTCAATAACCTTATAAACCATCAGCAGTTCATATGATTCCTTTCTGGCTTAAATTGTACAGAAGGACTGACGGAATCATATATATATACATATATATATATATATATATATATATATAGAGAGAGAGAGAGAGAGATTAAAAGGCGATTGAGAAGTTAAGAGGCGTATTTTGAGGCACACCTCACAATAAGGCGCACAAAACAGGTTTTGAGGCTTACACCTTGAGGCACGCCTCAAGGGCATTTTTAGGCGGGTTTTTGTCTTTCTTTTAGTTGTAGGGATGTACCTTTAAAATGCCCAAGTAAACTTCATTTCAAAAAGGCTCGGACATTAAGGGTTGGTTTGCAAATGCTTAAAAAAGCACTTATTTTACCAAACACTCCCAACTTTTATTTTTCTCGGCTTTCATGTCAAAAGTGCTTTTACTTTTTTCTATTTCACAAAAAACACTTATTTTACCGAACACTACCAACTTTTACTTTTTAAAATCACTTTTTTCTCAAACACTATCAACTTTTATTTAATCACTTCTCCCCATTTCATTAAAAAAAAAACATTTTTTTAAAGCAGAAGCCGTTGCAAACAGACCCTATGAATGAGTCCCTATATTTTCTAAACCATAACAATTCTGACAACATATTAACGTTCAACGTCATGCTGCAAGAAGGCAAAAAGTTGCTACATTCCTTCCAGGTAATTTCTCTTCTTCTCCTATCTTCTTCTTTTTCCCCATCATCTTCACCACATCATCTCCTCTACTTCTTCACCTCTCTTTTTTCTTCTCCTTCTCTTGTTGGCCGTATTTTTCTACTATTTTGTTGGTCAAATTTTCACATTTCTTATTATGTAGAAGATTTATTACAACAACAACAACAACATTCAAGCATTATTTCCAAAAGATATTGGGGTCGGCTAGCATGAATCGAACCATGATATCAGAGCAAAAAAGAGAAGAAAGATAAGAAAAATAAAAAGATAAGGTAAGATAAAATGGATAAGATAAAAATAACATATGAAACATAAGATAGATAAAAGATAAAAGAGATAAAGGACATGAAAAAAATAAAAGATGAAAATAACATAAGAACATAGAATGATAAATAAAATAAAAGATAAAAGAAAGGGAGAAAAGAGATCAACCGTCCACACGTATATGCGCCCTCCAATTTGCTCTGTCCAAAACCATACTCTCATCCAACCCAAGAAGAAGCATATCAGTTCTGATTCCTCTAATCCAAGTCTGTTTGGATCTTCCCTCCCCCTCCTACTTGCCTCTTCTCCCCAGCTCTCAACTCGTTTAACAGGTGCATCACTCGGTCACACACATGACCAAACCACCGCAATCGAGATTCTTGCATCTTATCTTCTATAAGTGTTACTCTCACCTTTTGTCTTAATATCTCATTCCCCAAATGGTCTTTTCTGGTATGTTCACACATCCAACGTAACATACACATCTCTTTCACACTCATATTTTGAATGTGACATTGTTTCACTGTCCAACACTATACGCCATACATTAGTGCAGGTCTAATTGTTGTCCAATAAAATTTACCTTCAGTCTAGTCGACATACGTCGATCTCATAGAAATTCTGATGCACTCTTCCACTTCATCCACCTTGCTCTGATTCTATGGGATACATATTCATCTAATTCAACATCCTTCTGAATTATAAAGCCCAAATAACGAAACATATCACACATGGTATCTCCTTGTCATCAAAGGTAATCCCACTCTTACTACTACTTCTACCTCCATCAAACTTGCACTCCATATACTTAATCTTACTTCAACTCAGTCTGAAACCCTTGGTTTCCAAGTGCTACAGCTAGTAGTAGTGCAGATCTTGGTATTTCTATGGTAGCTACTAGAAACAAAAGAGACCCAACTTGGAAGCATAGTGCTAAAGTAGAATCTTAAGGAGAAAGAAGAAGTGAAGAACTATATTTACCTATGGTATAGCTATTGTGAAAAACTACCATAGAAGGTGTTAAGAAAATGAAAGAACATCTTGCTTGTTCTAAGACGAATGTCACTTCGGGTAAACAAATGCCCGAAGATTGCCACAACAAGCATTTGAGGAGTGTATTGTAGTAGGATCTTACAGGATCAAGCAAGTGATAATTCTCTTCCTTCAAGTGAGGATTCATCTTATCTTTTTATTTTTTATCTTATATGTATCTTTATCCTAACTTTTTATACTATCTTATTTTTCTGTTTTTCTTTTTTAGTTCTAATTTCATATGTCTATTCAAGATTTCAAGTTAGTCGACCCCAAACTCTTTTGGGACTAAGGATTGTACATTGTTGTTGCTCAATTTCATGTTTTAGGTGCTACATAAACTTTTTAATAAAAGAAATGTAGTTTACTCTTATTAGATGAATCAAACTTTTGCAATGATAGTGTAACTTCTTACTTATTCATCGTCAAGGTGTGAGCAAACTTGGAGTACTTTCAATTAAGTAGACACCAAGAGAAGAAATCACTTGACAACTCACAACTATCATGACGAACACTTTTATATCTATATAGTATGCAACAAAAAATTGAAGGATAGACACCTTCAATTAGGATCATTAACCAATAATGAAGAAAATTGGTTAATTGAAGAATTGTCATCAAATGATGAGTGTTTTATCGATGAAAATGATGGTGAACAAAACACATTTAGGGATGACCTTGATGTCTTTCATGTTGATCTTTTAGGAGGGGAACCACTAGAAAATACGCAAAGAAAAGAAAGCTCAAGCAAGAAGAGTGGGGGTACTTTGATAGTGATGATGGAAGGGTTGATGATGAGAAAATATAAAGATTCTTCCAAAGGGCCTTCAAGTCATGATGATTACAATTAAGTTTCCATTTTCTAAACCATATTTATTTTTGTTATTGAACAATCATTTCAAACTATAGTGTGATTGTGTGTGATTATGTGATTATGTTTGAGATTTTTTGGACTGATAAATGTGCATATATTTTGTTGGTGTTTAGTAGCTTAACTATGGAGTATATGTTTTATTCATTGGTATATTTTCAGGTTACGCCTCAGGGCTTACACATCGCCTACACATTACCTCTCTGAAACAAACTCCATCTAGCTTTTTAAACCTTGTCACACAGGTTCAGATCTTCGGCCTTGAATTTTAATCAGGGCAACCAAACTAAAATACTAGTCAACCACCACTCAAGATCTAACACCCCTCTATAAAGGTTCTAACTTGATATATATGTGTGTATAGTTACAAATATATATACATAGAAGAGGGTAGATTTGGATCAAATGAGAACACAGTCTAATTTAAGGAGATAAATGAGAATGCATCTAAAGCGAAATAAAATTGTGCATCAAGTGAAATAGAATTGTGCACTATCATAAAACATAAAATGTGGTGGCATTTGTGTAAATAAATTCGACTTTTTCTTCCTGTTTAAATTGTGCATTATCTTGACCATAAATATGCACCGCCATGAATCATAATGTGCATCGTTTCGAGTCATTATCATTTCTCAGAAATATCTCCATTGACAATCAGATTATGGCAAAAAATCTTTTGTATAAACTATGTTTCCGGGTTTTTGTCATTAGCTTCGTAATCCTAACTTCTGATTTTGTTAAATAGCTTATTCCAACCAAATTTTTATTTTTTTTAATATTTGATTATTTACTTCATGTTTGTGCCAAATTTAGGGCAGTTTTGTGGTAATATTCCGAGAAAATCTGTCAACTCCGTGGCAGATTTGAAAACTCTTGTTCATGGCAAATTTCAAATTAATCTCCCAGGCTGAATCTGCCAACTTAATGGCAGATTTATGGCCCCGGAGTTGTGATGGTGGCAGCGATGCTCGGGAGGTGAAGTAGTGGCCTCGATGTTGACATTGGTGGTGCTCGGAGGATGGTGGCGGCGGAAAATGGCGACACCGGTTAGACGGCGATGGATGGAGACACCAGTGTGGGAGGCGGCAGCAGGCGGCAGCAGTGTGGGAGGCGGCTGCAGGCGGCACCAGCGAGGGCAGGCAACAATGGCAAGGGTGGTTGAATTGCTACAGTTGAAATTTTAGGATTTCATCAAATTTTAATTTTGCCTCAAAATCTTTTGGGAATAAGGCTTGGATGTTGTTGTTGTTGCTGCATCAAATTTTAATTGTACATTTTTAGTTATAAACTCAATTAAAAACTGAATGGGGGCATTTTTGTACATGTATCTACTTCTAAGTCCTGTGAAACATAAATTCAGTTTTTGGTCCTATTTGTGCATTTTAGTCCTAAATAGGTAATTAACTCAAATAAATACTTCGGGAGCAAAATAAAGTAGCTTTTAACCCCAAGCACTCATAATTTAACCCATACTAATAGCCAATATTTATATCATGATATCACAGAAGCAACATTAGTCAAACTTAAAAGGAGTGATATTAAGGATGCTGCTGATTCAAAGATAAAATTACCATTTGTGCATAAGCATTAATTAATGCATTATACATGGTTGACGATGGCTTCAACCCAGCAGATTTCATCAATTTCAAGCACTCAATTGCATCATTAAATCTCCCTGACCGTCCATAAATATCAACCAGTGTGGTGTATGTAACTACATTAGCCAGTACACCACTGCTCTGCATTTTCCCCAGTATATCCTTCACTTTCCCCCACCTCCCCTGCTGTCCAAATGAATTGATCATTATATTGTATGTTTTAGTGCAAGGCAAACAGCCCCTTCGCTGCATTTCTTCAAAGAGCTCCTCTGCTTTGTTATGGTGGCCATGTCTGCAATGGCAATCTATGAGTGTGTTCCATGTCACTGTATCTGCCTCAATTCCCTCTGTTTTCATACTTTCAAAAGCTTCCATTGCATGGGCAAGACGATTATACTTGCCAAACATGTTGATCATAACATTATAGAAATGGGTGTCGGGTTCAGCCCCGACCTTTTTCATTTCCTTGAGAGCCTCAAAAGATATCTGCCACTCTCCCCCGTCACGATAACCTGCCAATATCCTACCAAAGACAAGCGAGTTAGGTTTTACATCGTTTGTTTCCATTTCTTTTAACACGACCCATACATTCTCCCATCTGCCCGCATTTGAATATGCATCAATGAGTAGACTGTAAGTATACTCATCCGGTGAAACCCCGATTTTATACATTTTAGACACAACATCTATTGCATCGTTTAAGGAACCAGATTTGACATAACCTTTCAATAGGGCATTATATGCCCTCAATCTTGACCTTAATCCGCCTTCCTTCAACTCCTCAAGGATAGCTTCTGCCTCATCTGCCCTGCCCGCATTCCCCAACTCTGATATTACAGCAAGAATAGTAGCTGTTTTGGGGCTCAAGCCATTTTCTTGAATCAATGCCAGGAAATCCAAAGCACGGTCAACATTTCCGGCCTTGGAAAACCCTACTGTTATGTCATTCATCAACTGAACATCAAGCTCGATCTTATCAGCCTCCATTTCCTCATAAAGCCTCTCTAGCAGAGTGCAATCAATGGTGTTGCTCCTAGTAAGTGACTGAATAATCAAACTGTAATTCACGAAGTCCGAGTGATAACCGTCCCCGCGCATTCTTGCAAGCAGATCCAGTGCTTTTTGGATTTCATTGTTGCGAGCACAGGCGCCTATGAGAGCGTTGTAGGTCATGGGGGTCAGTGCTTGGCGCTGAGAAAGCAAGAAGGCTTCGTAGAGCTTCTGGGATCTCCCCAGCGCGTGAATCAAAATGGAGTAAAGAAGCTCGTAGGAGAAACAAAGGTTGTGCTTCTGTAGCCAAGTCACGAGCGCATAGGCAGTGGAAACGGAATCCGGCATGGAGGTGAGCGACTTGAGAAGGTTGTGCCAGAGTGGTCCAGGGACAGCTCGGTACGACTCGGCCAGCTTTAACTCAAGTGGGTCGAGACGAGCGGGTGGCAACTCAACTGAGTTGGACTCCGTGAGAGGATGCGACTGGAGAAATTCGATTAGGGGAGTGAAGTCGTAATTCCGATTCGGGAGTGAAGCGATGTCGGATCCTGCTTCGTGTTTCTGCTCATCGTCCAGGCTGAATGTTTTGGCGGTGATAGAGATTGAAGAAGCGAAGATCGGCCTTTCAGTTGTTGTTTCGCGGCGGATAATTCTTGGGCAGAAATGAAAAGAAAGGCAGCGGAAGTGAGGAACGAAGAGCGTGATCATAATCTATATATTTGGATTGGATGGAATACAAGACACGTCGCATGTGCTTCTGCTTCAGGATTTCAGTTTCCTCCGGCCGGCCAAAAGGGATGACGACCAAGAAACTGCTCTACCCATACTTAAAATAAATTAATTATAAGCAAATATTTTCAAAGAGAAAACTATAAGTCCATGTACTAAGAAATCCCTGAACTATTAAAACAAAGCTCAATTTCACTTTTTAGTAAGTCAATCACCAGTTAGCCGGTTATAAGTTTAAGTGGATTTCCACATGGCTTTGTTTTTTTGGAAACTACCGTTGACCTCTTCTGTCTCCATCTATCCCCTGTTCATCTTCCCCACCCAGAAGATCATGTATCATCCTTATCTCCACGTTTCGTCTTCCCCCAGTCCCCATCCAAACGGCCAAATGAAGAGCATCCATCTCCCTTATCCCCACTGTTCATCATCCCACTCAGAAGAGCTTCCTTCTTTCTTTATTACAACTATTCATATTTCTAAATATGGAAGAGCAAGACCGACGACCACATAATCACGACATGCGTATGGAGACCATTAAAATGGTGGAAAAGAAGCAGAGCTTTATCAAGAAATCGTTTGACTCCTTCTCGTTTCTCTCCGGTAATAAAAAAAACATTGATTCCACCCATATGAACATCTCTACCTTTTAAAGAGTCTCTGAAATTTTCATCTAATTCTTGATTTCCTTTCTTCTACTTCAATCGTCTCATACCGCTGTTAATTCCCTTCATTTCGTGTCATTTAAAATTTCATATTGTGAATGAAATCCTATATTTTTCTTAATTCCTTTACTTAATTATTAGATGTACAAGCAGACCTCTCAATCTCACATGGCGGCGAGAATTTCACGATCTCTCGCTATCTGCAGTATCCTACTCACGAATATATTTACGCATTTGATAAAATCGACGGCAGCAGGACCGTGGAGGTGTTCATCGATGAATCTGAGATGAAGAAGATGATGTACCAAATTAAAGCCGGTCAACAAAGGATTCTAAAAAAAAAATTAAAGCCACGTGGAAATCTAAGTCACCAAATAACCGGCTAACCGGTGTGTGACCTACTAAAAAGAGAAATTGAGTTATTTTTAATAGTTTAGGGGTTTAATTGAATGATTTCTTAGTACATGGGCCTAATTGAGGTTTTGGTTATAGTACATGGACTTATTTGAGAAATTCTCCTATTTTCAAAATATGTTTTTTCTTAAATAGGAATTCGTTAGCATCATTTTGAAGATCTACTCCACATTTTTGTATTATCAAACTTTAAACATAACAATATACTTTGCTAAAAGTGATAGTAATTATTCACATTTAGAGAGTAAAAACATAGTTTGGAATTCTCAAACAATTTTACTCCTATTTATGGCAATTTCTTTTCTAAATAATCATTCTTATGTGTGTGCTTATTATTAGTATTTAAAATAAAACATTCAATTAGTACACACTGGCTAAAAAAAAATCTAAAAGGAAAAAGTATATACAAGTACATTATTATTACAAAATACTACATTCGTCCCGGTGGACTTTGCTAAGTGTAAAGTAGGTGAAAAATAAGAATAGTAAAAACTGTGTGGTTGAAGGAACAATGATTTTCCTGAGTTATCCCCATTAACCTCATTCGGTAATGATGAGCCCTCATCTGAAAAAAGAAACCAGCAAGGGTTAGGAAACCTCGACCCTAGTGAAGAGAAGAGAAGTCACCCTCGTGCAGAGGCATATCATTGATTCTACTATCACCACCGAAAAACAAAAATGCCCACCGATTACCAACAACCCCCTTGCCTCTTTATCTGACACTGAGGAAAATATTGAAATGGAAACCAATCCTAATTCTTAATTGGAACCAGACCAATCTACCTTGTCCCTCCTCCCCCTCTTACAACCTACGGAAAAGTACCAACTGTATACCCCTCAAACCTATAAAAGGGTTACCAGAAGTTCATCAACTTCAAACCCTTTACCCTCAAACTCCCCCGACCCTCAGGTTTTCAATGATTAAAACAATCATTTGGAATGCCCATGGTATCTCAAACGATACCCAAAATAGTCTTCTCTCTGAAAAACACTCACTCCCCCAATATTATAGCCATTCTTGAACTTATGGGCCATCCTTCTCAGATATCCTCTCTCAAAAAAACCATACACATGCATAACAACCACCCTTACTATCTTAATAAAACATCGCTCTATTAAGATGCTAGTCTCCATATTAGTATCATCTCTGAATCTCCCCAAAGCTTAAACATCAAAATTGAGCATCAGTTTATAAATATTTTCAACAAATTGTCAATACCTCATTGTCTAAACCTTGTTATGGGTATGGGATGTTCCTTTTTTTTTTTCAAAAGCTTAAAAGGCTGGAAAAAAGTTTTAAAATCTTGGAATCTCAATTCTTTTGGAAACATTTTTCAAAACCTGAAAAAAGGCTGAGGATGATCTCTCCATAAAAGAAAAACAACTTATCTCCATGGACAACCTGGAAAACCAAAATATATGCTTTTAAAAAAGATCAAGCTGGGTTTCTCCTTAAATAAAAGACTTTGCCGAAGGCCAAGATTAATTGGTTAAAAGATGGTGACACCAATTCTAAATTATTTCACACTTATGTGTAAATTGACTATACACAATGTTGGTCCCAAAAACAAATCTGAAGAACAGCTAGAGAAGATCTACAATAATATAGAGAAGGATTCTTAATAATGATCGAGAAAACTCTGAACAGAAGAAATCCTTACGCTATACTATCAAGAAAGATAGAACAAAAACTCTGAGTGAAAGGCGCTGTGTATTTCTGATTATCGATTATTCGGTCCTGTACCACATGTACGCATATTTATAGGCGTAGGTATACCGAAATGGTAATCTAGAACTTTGGGCCTAAGGCCTTTTTGGGCCCTATTCCCTTAGCTCATTTATTCTTTACATAAATGCTATAAAGGATAAGTCTAATCTAATTGGGATAACAAGACTCTAGACAAACTTGATCACAATAAATATTTTCCTCAACAATCTCCCCCTTTGTGATCAAGTGCCGTCTTGCTTCTTCTTCTCTTCACTGTTGAGCTTTATAATAATTCTTCCTGAGATTAAGAGCATGCTCATAGCTTCTGAGTGAATTTCTGTTTCCAAGTTGTGTCTCGATGGCCTTTAGGATAAATTCTGTTCTTTCTAGCTCTTTGAGTTCATCCTTTGTAGCTTCTGTTGTCTTTTTGACAAGTTCTTCCCTTTTTTATTTTCAGCCTATTTCTGATAATCTTCAGAGTTCCGTCGCAATATTTGTTTATTTTTTTTGACAAACATAAGGCGCTTCTTTCCTTCATGATTCAGATAGATAACCGAGACTGGATTGTCAAGGATATGATCTTCTAGAAAGTCTTCTATCCCTGGTCTGTCAAGGTCTGGCTTTGTGAGATTTACCTTAGGATAATTTCTTTCCAGAGCCATTTGAAGATCATGACCTCCATGATATCGAACCTGTCTCATCATGAACCTTTTTATAGCTTCGAAACCTTCCTTTGCGAGTCTATCTTTATAGACTGGTAGCTCTCTGCATCTCATAAACATTTGATAGACATCATCCATATGTAGCAAAAAGAAATCATTTTCTTGACACGTGAAGGTTGATCCATCAGTTCTTTGGAGGTGAAAGACCATGAATTTGATCTTCTCCAGGTACTCTTCTGTAACTTTCAAGATAGTCTGCACTGGACATCCGCTTGTTGCAAGATTATGGTTCAGAATTTGTCGTCGTTCTCCCGTGGATCTGTGTCCTAACATGTACAGGTTTCCACCTTTGTTTCTTCCTTTGAGGTGGTTAATGCCACGCATCTTGAGTTCTATGTAATTCTTGATCTTTTCAGGTGTGCGCCAAATTCTCTCTCTGATTTCTTCTAGAAAGGGAGTTTTAATCCTGACACTGTCCAGAGGCTTTGGAATGGTATTTTGCTTAGTGACAGAATCTGGTTCCTTGTATTTGTCTCCTTCTTTTATCTCGTCTTTGTCAAGCCCAATCATATCTTCAGCACATCTTCTAAGAAGCTCCATAAGCATCCAATCCCGTTGCATGTCATCTTGTTCTGTTTCCATTCTTACATCATCCCATTCTGTCCATTTACGGGGCCACCTGTCATATACCAGGATTTCTTCAAGTTTGTCCGAGGGACTGGGTGGAGTTTGTTCTTGGTGTTGTGGCGATGATTCGTCAGGTGAAACACCGGGATCCTCAGGATTGCCCGTTGGCATCAGTTTCGAACTGGGTTCTAGCTGATGGCCTGAGTAGAAAGATGTACTCGTGGTAGCATCATCAGGACTTCCATTCCGTCCTTGGTCAACATCTATAGGAGATGCGCCTCGGAATGTTTTGTCTAGCTCGACCATGCTAGAGAGAGAGGCTAGGGATTTGTTTTGGCTGGCTGAAGTAGTGGGTTGCTGATTGGTAGAGGTGGAGGGTTGGTTTGGCTGCGGGGCTTGGCTTGTAGACGCAACATGCTCCAGTATCTGTTGGCGCTTGTTCTTGTAACACCCCCATTTTTCCCACCAAAATAAAATAACATTTTGAAATGAAAACATCTTTATTATAAAACATATTTAGAGTACAGCGGAAGTCTTTAATGGAAAAACAGGTGTGTCACCGCCACACTCAACCTATACATGATTGAGTGCACAGGCTATCCACCATAAGTTCAAGTAGCCATCGGATAAAACTTAAAACAAGTTTATGGATTACAAATTTAAACAACAATAATTAATCAAACGTGTGCAACTAGCGGAACACTCGGGCAGCAAGTACATCAATCTTCATAATCATAATCATCTGTACAATAGAGCAAAGAGAAAAAGAGAAAAGAGACAAAAATTAGCTTTAGAGCTAAGTAAGATTCCACCCGAACCCGTAAAATAATATAATTTGGAAAATAGGTTTTTGTATATGTATATATATTGAAAAGTAGTCTCTCATATTTCCAAAATGGTTTAATGTCATAAAATAATTTCCACAATAGATAAGATCATCCTTCAATTCCTCCAAAAGTAATACTTTAGATTCTTTTAAGAGTGGGCGAAACTCAAGATTCCTCGAGCCCAATGAGTCGTTGTTATCTACGACTCATCCCGGAATTCCGACTCCCACCGACCACCAATTGG